ATTGATCCTTGAAAATATGATTTTCTAAATGAGRAATACGATTCCCAGTTGAAGGGAGAGGTAAATTTTTGAAATTCGCCCCTTATTCCGCAATCTTTGGGTGTCCATAGGATGGATCGCTCATCCCCTTCAAAGCATACATGCCCAAACAACCTAAATGGAACATGAAACATCTCCCCCCTTAGGAAAAGGAAGGCTAAACGGAGTAATGCATGATGGATACCTAATTAATCAAGAGAACTGTTATGAGAATTACATCACCCCAAAACCGAATTGGAACGGTGGAGCTTACCATCATACTTCTTGCCACTTCCAAAATATGTTTGTTATTCCTTTTTGCTACACCATTCTATTGTGGGGTATTTGTGCACTTGATGGACTACTCCATGCTCTAATAAACATGATGTCTGATTTTTCTCAAAGTATTCTTTAGCATTATTTGATCCGAACACATTTACCTTATACTGCAAATTGCATCAATACCATCTAATAAAATTGTTGTACCAAAGAAAATACATCATCACAAGATCTTATCAAGTATACCTAAGAATATTATAAATAGTCATCCATAAACAAAAGAAAATAATGATAGTCACCCATAGAAATAACATGATATGGTCCCTAAACATTAACATGAATAATGTCAAAAACTAAAGAACATCTTTTATTACTTGTCTTAGATGAATGCCTACAATTTTTCCAAATTGACAACCCTCACACTCCAAACTGGACTATTTAACAGGCTCAAACAATTTTGGAAACAAATAATTCAAAGACCTATAAGACAAATTCCCTAACCAATTATGCCAAAGAATAATCTGACCTACTGACTCTGATTCATTACTCTTGTTGCTGACATGATGGCTTTGATGACTGAGAAGAACATTGAAAAGGTAAACTCCATTCACCTCTCGATCACTCCCAATCTTCCTCTTTGACTCCAGATACTAAAAAACACAATGATCAAGAGAAAAAATTACAAACGATTCAAATTTTTTGTCATACTGCTCATAGACAAAAGGTCAATATACTCAATCTAGGAACGCGGAGTACGGAAGACAAGATAATGGTATTAGTTATTTTGACAAACCCCTTCCGAGCAATGGGAACATTGGAACTGTTAGTTGTAGACTCTCTACCAAAGTAGAGGTGGTATGAAGATAAGATGGTGGAAATATTAGTCATATGTTTTGAGGTTCCTAAGTTTATAATCTAGGGAGGTCCTCCCTAACTCGTAGAGGAGGCATAATTTACAGTGGCATATGAACTACATGTATGTGAAAATGAAGTAGAATGACTAGCTCCTGAGCCACTTGCATCTTGTTGTTCATCATGTGGAGAGTTGGAACTAACTATATCTCTCTAACTCAAAAATTGCCCATATCTTTCCAATTCGGATCTAACTGTAGCTACTACAACTAACTCTAAAGAAGTTATAGTAGATGGTCCAGATAAATCACCAATCACTACCATATTAGCATTTCATTTCTTGTATCTGAGCCAACTAGGTATAAGGTGTGGGTGAAACTTCCAACATATATCTCTAGTATGCTTAGGCTTCTTATAGTAGTCATAAATTAAGTCCTTCTTGTCCTCTTTCCTGGCATCACTACCTTGCTTAAGGTTTAAATTTCTCATCATCACATCTCTTCTACTCTCTTCTCCAAACACAAAGGCATATGCCTGAGAGAGTTATACTATAATGAGAAAAAACATGTTGTCATACTTTGGGTTGAATCTTGCTAGAAACTCAAATACTCTATTATTCTCTATTAACTTCTAATAAGTTGTTGCATCTTTACTACTCTACCAAACCACTATCTCCAAATGATCTATATCCTGCCATAAAGTTTTAAGGACTGAAAAATAAACAGTATTAGATTTATCTCCTTGTCTAGTAACAATCACCAGATTCCTCAACTAGGGATGGCAATTTTCCCCATCCCCGACAGGGACCCGACTTCCCCAACCCGATGGGGTCAGGGATGAGAATTGTTTTGGTGAGGCGGGGACGGGGACGGGGACAAGGATTAATAGGAATCCCCGATTGGGGTCGGGGTCGGGGATGGGGATTGAGGTCCCCGCCCCGCCCCGACCCCGATTATGTGTATATATATATATTATTATATTATTTATATTATATATATTAAATATATATTATTACATTATTTATATTATAATATATATATATATATATATCAAAACATATTTAAAAAATTATTTATAATTTAAAATTTTTGTTTATTTTAAGTAAATTTATTTTTCAAATAAATATTGTTATCGAAAAAAATTCAGGGATTCGGGTCTCCGTAGGGAACTCATCCCCATCGGGGATCGGGGATGGAGGACAAATTTTATCCCCGGCGGGGATCGGGGACGGGGACGGGGGTTACTTTTATAATCGGGGTCGGGGATGGGGAATATGATCCCCGCCCCGTTGCCATTCCTATCCTCAACTAGTAGGCCCTAGCAACATTCTCACTTTATAAGTCTCTACAAGTCCAAACCAAATCTCCTTAGCTGTGTTAGCCCATAAAAAGTTCTTGCTTATATAGGGTAATATAAAATTGCATAGCCAGGTTATCACTATGTTATTCTCATATACCCACCGGAAAGAGTTAATCTCAAACTTCTTCTCTTTACCAATGACATACCCCAATTTTCCATGAGTACCAATAGCCATTTTTGTTGATTGAAACCACTCCAAGTAGTTTAAGCCATCTAACTTGACTGCAATTATGGTTCCTATCCCAAAAGGGTCACTAACACCTCCTCCACCTAGTCCCATTTTAGCTATGGACTTCTATTCAACTCCACTGCCCTCCATAATTTCCAAAATAGCTTAAGAAATCAACTGCATATGAGGAAAAATAGATTTACCCCCTTTAAAGGCCTCAATCACCCGTTTGGTAGTGTTTTCAAACTACCGTTGACCCAAATGATTAGACTGTTCGGCCCAGGAGCCATCTAGGCAACCGGTTCCATTTCACCCTTAACCCATTCTTTGGCCAAAAACCATTTACTTGGTCAATGGCCCACTGGTCGGGCAATTGAACCGTCAACCCATTTGACCCGAACAATATTTTTTGCCATTTTTATTTTCATTATTTTTTATTTTTTAATTTAGAACGAGACATATGTTTGAACCAGACGGTCGAACCACTGACCGAAAAACCAGTGGCCAAAGCAGTTCTGGTTAGGGGTAAGCAAGAAAAACCAAAAAACCAAACTAAACCCAAAAACCAACCAAAGCCGAACCAAAAATTTTGGTTAATTAAACCGACCTATATATATATATATTACATATATTTATGTATATTATATATACTTTATATTTTCTATGCATTATAAATTAATAAATATGTATTATATATAAATATATATTATAATATATAATATATTATTTATTATTTGAAATATAATATTTTATAATATATAATATTATTTTTCTATAATATATATTGTAAATAATAAAAAACTGAAAAATAGATGAATCGAACCGATGGTTAACCGATCAACTTCAGTTCGGTTTTGGTAACACCGGTTTTTGGTTTCAAAAGTAAGCCCACGGTTCAATTAACCAAAACGTGAGAACCCCTAATTCTGGTTTTAGGTCGGTTTTTAAAACATTGCCTTCTAGTACCCAAAAACCTTCACCCATAAAGATTATTTTCTCTATGGGAGTAGGTAGAAACAGGAGAAAAGACTATCACTCCCTCCAGAGACCTCAAAAAACTCCCGAATTTGAATTGCCCTCTTCAAAAATCACTACGAAATCCAAAAAAATATACAATGCCCCTTCCTAGGTCAAAATTGAAGAGTCCTACAATCAAAACTCTTCCTCCTCCAGTTCTTCCTGATTTCAATGATCAACCCAAGGTCTGACACAAAGGGTTCTAGATCCACCAAAAAATCCAAGAACTAGGCACTTGGCTGATATAGGGGCTACATGATGGAAGACTCAAAAAATCCAAAAAAAAAAAAACTGCTATGATACTAAGTTGAAAAAAAAAACAATAATCTAATTTGATAATAGTGAGAAAAAAGAAAGAAAAAGAGAGTTCTTAGTGAGAAGAGAAGAAGAGATGGGGAGACTCAAATCAAATTTGTATCTAGGCATATATCATGATTTTATCTAACCCATTTGCAGCTCTAAGAATTTCAAAAGGAACAAGAAGCATTCACATAGGCTGTCTCCTAGGCTCAGACTGGTTTTGTTCGTGTTTGGCATGAATAAGTTTTTCTTCTTTCCCTGTTCAATCGGAGACAAACTGCAAAACTAAAGAACACATTCTCGTATCTGCAATGAGCTCCTGTGTTTGGCATGGATCTTAAGGTAACTAAATATGCATACACACCAGGGAAAAGGGGGTCCCTGCTGCTTTCACCATTTTAAGTTAGGCATCCACCACTTATAATTAATTATTATACATGGCTACGCTTAGAAAATGTTCCAATAATCATAAATCCATACCACAAATAGAAAAAAGGGTACAATATTTATCTGTTACTAGTCTCTTTCTACTAGTTTGAATCAAGAACAGGCAAGCACTTCAACAGAATCTCAGCTGCATGTTCTAGTTCTTGTTCAGATATGACTAGTGGTGGCACGAGTCTTACTACGTTACCTTTTCCAGCAGTCAGTACAAGAAGGCCAGAATTCCGGCATTCATCTACAAGTGGCAATGCTGGCAAGTCGAGTTCAATCCCAATAATGAGACCAAGCCCACGTACTTCTTTCACATGGGGGTTCCTCCCTAGCTTCTGAGCTAACAATTCTTTGAAGTACTGGCCTTTTTTAGACACACTGGACAAGAAACTAGGATTCCTGATCTTATCCAATACTGTTAGAGCAGCTTTGCAGACAAGAGGCCCACCTGCAAAAGTGCTTCCATGGTCACCAGAGTTTATGGCGGCAGCTACTCTTTCTGTCACCAATACAGCACCAATTGGTAGACCTCCAGCAAGAGGCTTTGCAAGAGTCATTATGTCAGGGGTTACTCCATATGCCTCGTAGGCCCACAGGTACCCAGATAAATTTTACAGGAGGCATGAATGCAAGAGAAACATATTACAGATACTGTCCCTAATGGTTTCATGATAATGGTAATACCAAAAGTAGTTAGAAATAAATTTTATCTTCATAAAGATCTCATTGATTATAAACAACAAAAGTTCCCCGAAAGATTTTATAATAAAAATATCTGTAGTCATCCCCTGTCAGGTCTTAATAAAAAAAACACTAACTGTTATTTGCACATCATGCTTACAACAAAATATGCACAATACACTAGATACAACCATATTGTGTATTAACCCAGAAACAGATATGTCATTGTAATAAAGATCTTCAGTTGAAAGGATAGTGAAGTTCAATAATGAATGAAAATGTTATAGAACTAATAGTGTAATTAAATGTCGGTTTTAAATCCTATGAACAAAAGCAACATGCACTTTGATCATGGCACTTTGGAAGAAGAATGCAACGAGGACCAATATTCACATGTAACTCATTCGCAGTCAGAAGACTACATGCTTTGTTTGTGTGAATGTGTTGGGTTGGAGATTTACATGACAAAGAACCATGTATGTAGTAGCTTTGATGGAAGCCCCAAAAGAATCATAAGTTCAGTCTCTCTTCATTTGACAAGTTTAATTTCACTAACAACACACATGTATGTACTTGTGTATGCATGTACTGTGTAAATGCTCTTGAGGTGTTTTTAGACTTGAGAATTTTATGCTTGGCATTCCTGCTGCCATTCTACTCCACAGTTTTGGTCACATAAGCATTTAACACTGAAAGAAATGGCCCATCAATTCGACATCTACATCTATAAAATATCCATGCACCAATTAGTATAACCACCCTATTGGTATGCCAACTCTCAGATGTGCCATGAACAACAAAAGTCTACATACTTATCAAAAAAAAAACAACAAAAATCTACATACTTATCAAAAAAACAACAAAAATCAACATACTTATCAAAAAAAACAACAAGAATCTACTTAAGTCCACATTTTTACCCATTTGTCCCATAACATAAAAAACAGAAGGCTTAGCTTTCAATGGCCAATGACTATTGGTCACTAACCTCCCAAAAGGATATACAGATATGGAGACCTATACCCATGTCATATCATTCAATTGTGTTACAAAACTGTAAAACACAGTATTCTCTGAAAAAAAAATTGAATTCCTTGTAATCTTCAAAACTGTCCATGATGCATGTCCACATAAGTTGAGAAAAGAGTGATAGTTTATTCCACAAGTTAGTTCTTCATAATGGAGTAAGGATAACTAGCATATCAAATATCATGTCAGAATTACAACTAATTCTGCACAGGAAACAACACTCCTACTTATATATGCATTATACAACAGAAAGTTATATAGTGTGAAAATAGAATATGCCAAGTGCGAACTCACAGGGAGGACTGTTACCATCTATTCATTTCATGTCCACTGTCTATGGAATTGTGGGTTTGGCTTCTCTCTTTGTTTGGGTGTAATTGGAGCTCACCAGCAGAAATACGGTTGTCTTGACCAATCTACCTTCAGTTGACCTACAAAAAGGGGAAGATCAATGTGGAGATGTGCAAGAACAGACTTGGTTTGGACAATATGGGAAGAAAGGAATGATAGAATATTTCAAGAGAAGGAAAGATATAACCAGAAACTAAAAGACTGTATTGAATAGGGCAATACAATGGTTGAAGACTTTGGACTTATTCTATTAGTTCTCCTTTAATGACTTTCGGAGAAACTGGTTGGCAATAGCGAGGTGTTCTTCCATCAAGAACAAGGTAGTCCCAAGGTGGTGTCCTCCAGCTGAAGGCTCACTAAAACTGAATTTCAATGGCAGAAGCTTAGAAGGTTGTTCTGTTGTACTCGGGTCCTTTGGGACTTGGTGATGCTGTTAGGGCAGAAATGCTAGCTACAGTACAAGGGGTGCAGCTTGCAAACCAAATGGAGGTACAACAACTAATTATTGAGGGGGACTCAGGTGGTGGTGGGCTGGTTAGGGAAACCTGATGAGACTGTTTGGTTCTATAAGAATGAAGTTAAGAAAATTAAATGGTTAACAAGGAACATGTCAGTCTCTATTCAGTGGGTGGGGAGATCAGCAAACGCTTTGGCCAACGTGTTAGCCAAGCAAGGGGCAATTAGGGAAGAATTTTTTTTGGGCTCAGTTCTGATTCCAGTAATTGTTTCCTTAACTTCTTTGTATTTGCCAGGAGGGGCTGCAGCTCGTGCCTCTCTAAGGGATCTTGCATGAGATTGTAATCCTGAATCAGTTTCTGTTTTAATAAAATTGCACTATTACTCATCAAAAGAAAATGCCAAGTGGCAGGAAAAAAAATGCAAATGAAATAAAGAGATCATGAATAAGCAAGGACTCTACCATTCAGTTCAATAGGAGAAGATGACTCTTCTACAGCAGAGTTGAAGGCCTCCCTTCAAGGATTACAGCTATGTAAGAGACTGGGCTTGAAAAGGATTGTGGCTGAAGGAAATTCTAAGACTGCATCACTGTAATAGGATGGCTTAATCAGCTTGTATGAGAGTTGGCTGTGGACTGGAGATGGACTAATAGGACAGAACAATGTAGCTGATACACTTCCAAGACAAGGAGTCAACAGGGTTGTATAGGGGAGCAATTACTCAGTGTGCTTGTAAATACACAAATGGGTATAGCTGGTGCTAGCCTAAATGCTTTAAATACTGTAAATCACGTTTGAACATATTTTTATCGTTAATGAAATATTTTACTGTTACAGAGAGAGAGAGAGAGAGACTATGAAAGCAGTACTTCTAATATAGTTGTACTGGAGCAATGGTTGATCAATTGATGACCTAGCTAACACAAAGCTGAAATATGAAGCTTGTTACCAAAATTTGAAGAAAGATGAAACACAAACATATTTTAGATTTTAGCCATATGGAGGGATGATGGAAGAACTCACTCCATCTATGTATAAGATAGAGGACCCACTGGATTGACCATCTATTCACTTCCTCGGTCCAAGTAAGTTCTACACCCACCATTTACTGGGCCTTTTTCTCAAGTGGTCCTAGATGTTGAAAGTTTAATATTTTTAAGAGCTTTGTTCACCGTGTGACAGAAGTTGCAAAACTAAAATTCAAAACATAAATGTAGGGTAGAGTGGGGTGGGGATATATGCAGCCTTAATTCAGGCACCTAAGCTGCCCCATTGAACATCTATGATATCTAAATCTCTATTGGCCCATTAAGAAAAATTCCAGATAAAAGATTGACAAACTCGAAACAACAAACCCTCACACCCCAGCTTTGTACTGTTTGTACTTTCTTCTTCTTATCCTTCTAGATACAGAGATTGTTCATTTTCATAACCAATGCAATTCACTGTTACTGATATAAAAAAAATGAAGTTCAAAAGCAAATAGTTGCCTACCTCATCAAAGACCAGGAGTGCCCCAGCATCATCACAAGCATTACGTAATGATTGCAGGAATTCCGTTGTAGAACTATATATACCTCCTTCGCCCTGGATAGGTTCCACAAAAACCGCTGCTGTTTTTCCACGTTGAATTACTTGTTTTGCAGTTTGTATATTCCCATACTCAAGGAAAGTGACACCAGGCATTACAGGTTCAAAAGGGGATCCGTAATGCTCTTTGCTTGTCAAAGCAAGAGCACCCATAGTTCTCCCATGGAAACTATTGGAGAAAGAAATATACTCAAGGAAAGTGACACCAGGCATTACAGGTGGCTCTTTCACATCAGGATGAGAAAACCTCTGAAACTTCCTACCAAATTTAATAGCTGCTTCATTTGCCTCTGTTCCTGAATTTGAGAAAAAGATACGATCGGCAAAAGAACACTCCAGACATTTTGCAAGCTCCACCTGCAGAAACATGGTATTTCCAATTTAACCATCACCAAAAATAAATCAAGAAATAAGAAGAGTAAAAACCACATGTATATCAAAGTGAGAATATCGAGATGGAGTTCAAGTTGTACTTTAAGTGTCCAGAAGCAGCAGGAGCATCCAAGTATCTTTGTGAATTTAAAATTCTGAAAATGAATAAATATAGAAGAGAGCTAAACAGCAAGGGTGCTGTGATTATTAAAAGAAAACCAGCAAAAAAGGGAGAGAAAACAGAGCAAGAAAAGAAAGAGAGAGATGGGAGAAGAGGAAGGAGAGTTGAATCAATCGTACGTCTCTCCAGCCCCATCAAAATCTTTTATTACTTGGAATTCTAACTGATAATACAATTACAAGAATGCCCCCAATAGGGCAGCTGACTAAATAAGTACAAAAGAAAAATGAACCATAACAAGGAAAGATAATATAAACATAAACTAATATCCAGCCCAATCTTTCTACACTCCCCCTCAAGCTGACCATAGATATCAATCATGCCCAGCTTGGTTAGATCATGCTGCAGCTTAGCCTTTAGAACCCCCTTAGTCAAGACATTTGTTAATTGTTCCTCAAAGGCAATAAAAGGCATGCATATTTCTCCTGAAGCAACTCTCCCATATAAGGTGGTGTCTATCTACCTCTCAATGTGCTTTGTCATATCATGTTGCATCGGATTATGAACAATGTTTGTAGCTTCTTGATTATCACAATACAAAATCATAAGCTTATCATAAACAATGGCCAACTCCTATAGGAGAGATCTAAACCACAACAACTGTAAAACTCCATGGGCCATAACCCTATATTCCACTTCAACTGAAGATCTATCCACTATAGACTGCTTCTTACTCCTACAAGAAACAATGGTCCCAACCACCATAACACAATAACCAAATATAGATCTCCTATCATCAATGTAACCAGCCCAATCTGCATTTGTGTAGGCTTCTTGTTTCATGTGACCATGTTTAGCAAAAAGGATTCCCTTTTCCGAGGTACCCTTCAAGTAGCATAGTACTCACTCTGCAGCAACTGTATCTATACCCGAGGAGCATGCATAAACTGGTTGATAACACTGACAACATAAGATATGTAAAGTCAAGCCATGCACAGGTACAATAACTTCCCAGGTAACCTCTAAAACACTTCCTTGTCAGCTAGTAACTTACCATCAGTGACAAAACTTATGATTTGAATTAAAAGAGGTGGACACAGGTTTGGCACCAAGTTTCCCTAATTCAATGAGAAAGTCAAGAACATACTTGTGTTGGGAAATGAAAATAGCCTCCTTAGACTAAGCAACGTCAATTCCCAAGAAATATCTCAATTTATCTTAGTCCTTAATTTCAAACTCTATATTGAGGAAGCCCTTAAGGTTGTTCCCTTCTTCAATATCACTACTAGTGACTACAATGTCATCTACATAAACAATAAAAAATGCCACCAAAGTGTCTCTCCTCTTAACAAAGAAGGTATGGTCTGACTAAGTTTGAGAATAACCAAAGTAAATCAATGCATTCCAGAATCTCTCAAACCATGCCCAAGACTGCTTAAGACCATATAGGGGCTTCTTCAGTTTGCATGCATACCTTTCCTTGCATCTCTTTCCAGTACATCCCAGGAAGGAGAGACATATATAGTTCTTCATGGAAATCCCCATTCAAAAAGGCATTCTTCACATCAAATTGATAAAGAGGTCAATCAAAATATGTTGATAAGGACAAGAGAACCTGCAATGATATCATCTTGGTCTAATTTTCAAGAAGACCCATTGTGCTCAAAAGTAGATAGATTTTTGTTTAATATAGGGTGGGAAAATCATTGGGAAGGTTTGGTTTCCAAAGCATTGCCTAGAGTCACATCAGATCACCACCCCATTAGATTAGGAACAGAATTTTTTTTTACATGGTCCTACTCCTTTCAGATTTGAAAATATGTAGATGACACATCCATATTTTATTCGGAAAGTGGAGGAATGCTGGAAGGACGATTTAAGGAGGATAAGGTGGGAGGGAATCAAATCCCATAAGAAACTACGAAGATTGAGATCTAGACTAAAGGACTGGAATAGGGATCATTTTGGAAGGTTAGAAGAAAGGAAGTTGACTCTTATTTCTCATATTGAAGAGTTGGACAATTTGGAAAATGGGAGAAACCTTCATGTGGAAGAGAGAGAATTGAGATGGAAATTAAAGAAAGAATTAGAGTAAGCCCTTAAGAGAGAGGAAATATCTTGGAGACAAAAGTCAAGACATAAATGGATAAAGGAAAAGGATGTGAACACAAAATTCTTTCAAGCGATGGCCAATGGAAAAAGGTGTTAGAACTTTGTGGCTAGGTTGGAAATAAATGGGGAGCTGATCCCAAATAAGGATGAAATAGCTAGAATCTTTGTAAACCACTTTAAATCCTTTTACAGGAGACCTCTAGAGGAAAGATTAAGTTTATAAGGATTCAAGTGGCCTTACTAGATGAGGAAGCAACAAGATGGCTAGAAAGAGATTTTGAGGAAGAGGAAATAAGAAGGCAATGTTCTCCATGAATATATCTAAAGCACCAGGTCCAGATGGATTGGCTTTCTATCAGGATTGCTAGGAAGTACTAAAAGATGACTTATTTGAAGTCTTTAAGGAATTTTTCAAATACACATATTATTAGCCCTAGAGTTAATGCAACTTTCTTGACCTTGATTCCGAAAAAACTTATTGCTAGCCATCCGAAGGGCTTCCAACCCATTAGTCTGGTGACCAATGTGTTTGCTAAGGTCCTATCGTTGAGGATCAAAGCAATACTCCCCTCTCTCATCAACTAGTTCCAAGGAGCATTTGTTCAAGGAAGACAAATAATTGATCAAATCCTGATAGCTAACAAATGTGTAGAGGAAATGAAGAGATTTAGGATGGAAGGATTTGTGTGCAAATTGGACTTAGAAAAGGGCTATGACATGGTGGACTGGAATTTTTTGTTAGAAGTATTGCAACAAAGGGGGGTTTAGGGAGAGATGGTGCAACTGGATGCTTGGTTGTGTACAGTCTTGTCATTTTTCTATCCTTATTTGTGGAGTGGTTAAAGACTTCTTCCCAGCTTGCAGATGGTTAAGGCAAGGTGATCCCCTCTCACCTTTCCTTTTTACCTTAGTGGTGGATGTCTTTAGTAGGCTTTTTTCTAAGGCAGATAGGGAAGATGAATTTAGGGGATGGAGAGTGGGTAGAGACAATGTTTCAATTACAACTCTAATTTGCAAACGATATCATAATAGTTTGTGAAGAGGGAGATATCAGGAGAGTGAGGAGATTGAAATATTTGATCAAGAAGTTTGAAAGTGTCAAATTTGAAAATCAACTTAGCCAAAAGTTGCATAATAGGGATTAATATGTAGGAGACTGTCCTAAATATGGTAGTTGATTGTTTAGAATTGTTATGCACACACCGCTAGGCAGCACACTGCGGCGCATAGACAGCGGCACGCACAGCAGCACGCACCGCCCAGGGATACCGCACAGCAGCACGCACCGCCCGGCAGCGCGCAGCACGCACCGCCCG